TCCTCTACTGTATATTTCAAACTTATTAGTGTTGATTTGTTAGTGTTAGTGATTTATAAGTATTTTTAACAAACACGTGTTTATAAAATACAATTCAAAACAAAATATTGTAATTAATTGTTGTGATGAAATAAATTATTCAATTATGCCTAAACGAAGGACATCTTATACCCACAATCATTTGTTTCCAACTATTTTACAAAAACCACTGATAAATATTGCTGCAATTTTTGTTAAAAATCAAGTAGTGAATCAGATCCAGATATTATAAATGTATAATTAATGTCATAATTGCAATAAAATAGCCCAATTTTTAGTCTTAAAATATGTCAATTTTCCCTATAATAAGTATAAAAACATGTAAATTACGTGCATTTTGTATTTTACAATGTAAATTACATAGCTTCAAAATGTTTCTTGTAATTTATTAAACTTACTTATTATAATTATGTTTATTAATCAACTAGAATATTTGAAAAATATTTTTTTGTGTCATTTATTTTCAAACCATATATAACGCGCACCCCGTAGATAACGCGCACCACTAATTTTGGCAAGAATGTCACTTTTTTCAATAGATAACGCGCGCGTTGTCTATGGGATATTAGGGTATACACAACTATTTGACCCTGTTTTAAAATACATAACCAATAAAGTACAGTTGTGTGAACTAACCATTTGTAAGAACCAAACCCTGAAACTGAAAATCTATTTAAATGTAGTGTGAGGTAATTCGGTATTTTGCGATTCTCTGGTTACGATTATTAAAGCACTTTAGAGTTAGACTTCAATAATAATTGTATTCTCAATATTTTCTAATCTATACATCATATCAATAGTAGTGTTCATTCACTTAATTCTGACAATTAGTGAGTGAAATATGAGGCAATGGAGAGGAAATGATTTCACATTCAATATTATTCATCTCTTTTTAATTAATCGATCAAATATTTGAAAGTTAATGGAAAAAGTGATTTACATTTGAATGGTTTGAATGGGTACTAAAATTACTTCATATGACTTTATAACTCGATATGAAAAAGCAATAAGAAATAAGAGCTCAACTTTGAATTTTTGTTAAACAAATAAAAAAAAGTAATGAAAAGTAATTAAAAAAGCAGTGAATCGATTGAATCCGCTTATGAGTGGATAAGACTTGTAAACGTAAATTACATCACATTTCACATAAACTTTTCCAAATGATGTCAAGTTTTGGCACATTTTATAAGATCAGTACAAATCGTGCGAAAGTGAATGAAAATCTATGGGCAGTAATGCTGTACCGATTGTACTGATAGGTAGAGTGAGTGGTGGGACAAGTGGTGGCACTGGTGTTGATATTCTGGTATATTCTGTGCGCACTCTCTGTACGACTCTCTGCTGTGTCTCTTTCATAGGGCTTTCATTGAGTGCATTGAATGAGTGAATCATTTTTGTTGAACACATTTATTGTGTATTGAATACAGCATTGAATCCGACGTTCACTTCATTTGTCGTCACCTTTTCTTTCAATCAAAGCCATCGCTCGCAAGAAATCACATAATTGTCTGCAATTATGCCAACGGCTAACAAAGACACGAAGACCTCCACCACTGCCCAAGCGGCTCAAGAGGAGCCCCAGAAGTTGGTCCAGAATTTGGTCGACAAGAAGATCAGAAATCTGGAGAAGAGAAAGGTATGACTCGATCGCCATTTCTGACCACAACTCTCACCCATTAATTGCCATTCAATTGCGTTATGTATTTGTAGTTTTGATTCACTTTTATTAATGTATTTAATGAGTAGTAGTAGTGAGCGGATTGTCTCGAGTGACCAATTGGTCCCATATATGATTGGATTCAATGCCACATCTCTTTTGTCACGAAACGAGTGATGAAATGAAACAATTGAGTGGAAAAGGCGTGACTTTTGTCAACGCTTTTGATTATAATAATTGTTTGCTTTCTTTTCGGTCTTTTTGTTTGACTTATGATTAAAACTATTGATTGAATAAATTGTTTATCAAATACTCAAATGTTTGCCAAACAATGGGTGAGAGATAATTGGCCGAAGAGTAGCGCCATTTGAATGAGAGTGCAATTATGTGTTAAATAGTGGTTGATTTGGGTTAACGTTTTGAATAACATTAGTAAACATTAGATTAAATGAAGCGTTGATTTATGTATTGATATATAGGCGCGACTCCAAGAGCTCCGGGAGATGCAGGAGAAGGGACAGGAACTCGAACCCGAACAGCAATTGGCCGTCAAGAAGTTGGATCAGGTCCAGGAGATCATCGACCACATGAAGGACCTCAACAAATCAATATCTGAGGTCTTGGTTGAGGTATGTATTGCGGAATGAGTTATGGATTTATAGCCCAAACGCCCACACCTTTGCATTTATGCCATAAAGAGTGACCCATTTATTGCCATAAAAACACATAATTTCCTCTTTTTCTCCGTTCGCTTAGAATACGAAACAACAGAAAAAGTTAGCGAAGAAAGAGATGTTAGAGAAATCAATTGAAAGACAACAGCAAGAAGTGGAACGACTCAAGAATATCGTCAAATTCCAAGACATTCTCTCGAGGTTTGAGACTAAAGTGAGACGAGATTTCGCCAAAGGAACCAATGGAGCGATCGTTAGTTTTTGCTTTTCACTTGCTTTTCATTTGAATTTAATTGAAATGGTTTTGGTTTAGAAATTATCTGACGACCAATTGTCTCAATTGGATAAACTCTACGCCGAGGTCTGCGAAGTGAGCGACAGTAAGATCGACACAATAGTCGAAAAGTTGATCTCATTGTCTGACGGCAAGTCGAGAGAGGCGTGGAGTGGAGTGAGTTATCATCAGCTGAAGGAACTCTTAACGAATATCATTGCCTCGAAATACTTCGAGACCAAAGAAACAGTGATCCCGACGCCAACCGCCACTACCATTACGACCAAAACCACAACCGATGATCTGAACGCCAACACCAATACACAAGTATGTATTGAATATCATTAATAGTTGTGTTCGAGACTAACGTTAGATATGTTTGTGATTGCGAATGGCATCTGAAGATAAGTTCCAATCAATTCCACATAAATGACTTCAACCCGAGTTTAACGCAAATTCAGAGTCAATTCGCTTCTGGTATTAGTTTTATGAACCCGTTAGTAGAGAAAGACCCGGCGGTGTTAGCCGTGTCCGGTGACAGCAACTACCCGTACCCGCCGTACAACTCCATCAATAGTAACGCTATTCCCGACTCAAACAATGCTATTCCTACGCAGACCTTCACTAACCAAAAGTTCGCCCCAATCATGACGAGCGCCGGCGGCCATCAACCCGCTGGCCATGTCTTCCCTCCCGCGTCGGTCGCTGTGCCCATTGCGGCACTCATTCAGCCCGATATGGTCTCAGGTATGACACCAGACATGACTTTCGTGAATCAGCAAACCTTTATGAACGCTGCGGACAAACACCAGAACACTAGTCAAGACAGACATAATAACTTCAATTCTGATGACAATTACAAGAATAATAGAAACCGCGGAAACCGATCCGAAAACCCCAGGAAACCAACCAATGGATACGGCAATAGAGAGGGAAATAGAGGCCGCAATACAAGCAAAGGTTTGTATTAACATTTGATTTGTTTATTGAGTTAACAAATAATTGTTGTATAATATTAGGGTATCAATCAAACCAATCGATGGGAACCTTCTCTAGTAATAAATACGAAAATCAAACGAACGGTTCGTCGGGTTATGGAAACACATTCGGAGAGAAGGGACCCAACAATAGCTATAGGGGAGGTCGCGGTCGACAGGACCCGAATCGAGGCCCACGACCGGACAGACAGGACACTCGTCGGCCCAACAACAACACGAATACCAACTATAATAGCAATTTCGTTGCAACCGCTGCCAAATGAGGCGAAACGGTATCGATTTGTATGTTTTCATTCGGCGGTAAACCTTCTCTTCATTACTAAACTTTTTTAGGTTAACGACCGATAAATCTATTATTAAATTCTATCACAAATTCTGAATATTTATTATAAAAAAAATAAAAATTCTTTGTAAAAATGAAACATAAAAACTAATGTAAAGTCGAAAAATCAATCCATTCTTATAAAAATAACTTAATTTCCTAATTATTAGAGCTTTTTCTCTAAAAATCTAGGTTTAAGTTCTGTCTTAAAACAATAAATCCTTTCATAATCTACTCATTTATCGTATGATTTAAATTGAAAATGTATTTTCACTTTCAGTATATAACTAATTGCTCACGTTTTCTAATTCTCTTTGTTTTGTTAGACTTTCAATAAATTGAAAAATTAAAATTAAGTCCAATTTAAATAATAAAATTACTTATTGGTCGACAACTTTAATTTAATTATTATTAATCTATAATTTAAGATATTTTTATTATATAAAAGTAAATCTATTTAAATGCCTCCAAACAGTTATACTGTAGTTACGAATAAATTCATTAATTTAATTCAATTATTATTTTTATTTAACCCTAGGTTTGAGTAAATTTTGAAATTGCATGAAAATGAGTAAAATGTATTGATTTTAAGTAAATTATAACAATATTTTGTCTAATAATAGCCTTTCGGTCACTGAATGCCAAATAAATTGCTTTTCCATGTCTTGTAAATGAGTTGTGATTTTCTGTACAAAACTTATCGAAAATTTTTTTAGGAATATTTTCAATGCTTTCATTGAATGATGAAATAAATGCTATCTTTTGTCCATATATTACGGCATTATATTGAGTGAGGGATCGAAACGATGTTTTGGTATTAATCTATGGCTCAATCAAATGGGGGTTTAATTAATAGTAACGTTATTTGCGAACGAAATGTATGGAAACGAAAACATTGTCCGAAATGGTTATCTCAATGTGTGTTGTCTGTAATGTTTGGGAAGTGTTTGTGTGATGTCTTTGCGTAACTTAAAAGAGGAATCGTTGGCAGAGAAGAGGCGACAGATTGAGGCGAATCCGTGTCACTCGGAACACATGAAATCNTATCGATATGTGTGTTGTCTGTAATGTTTGGGAAGTGTTTGTGTGATGTCTTTGCGTAACTTAAAAGAGGAATCGTTGGCAGAGAAGAGGCGACAGATTGAGGCGAATCCGTGTCACTCGGAACACATGAAATCGTTGACATGTCTTCAACTGAATGCCAAAGACTCGGATGAGTGTCAGCGAGAAGTGGACAATCTGTTGCTGTGCCGCACCTTTTGGTACGAAATCAAGAAGTTTCGGCAAATCCATGACATCGAACCCATTCTTCCGGTTACCACAGAGAGGGAGCGACTCAGGGCTGCGTTTCTCAAGACTGGATCTTTGAATGCCGTCATCCAAGACATGAAGAAAGAGTACAATTTGTAGTCAACTCTTTCTCCCGTTATTCTCAGACTTAAGTGACACTTATTTTTGTGACACAAAAACTAATCGTTTTATTAATTATTTGTGAGAAAAAACAATATGTTTAACAAACTGTCGAAACAATTCGTCCGCAATGTCTGGACAGTGAGTCCACTGACGGCTGAATTCAATCGTTTGAATCCAAAGACACATTCGTTTCCGCGATTCTTCGAACAGAAGACCGGTTTGTTTGGCCATCAGTTGCTGTCAGAGCCGTCGGGTTTCTATCTGTTCCGCGAGAACGCGATCGTAGAGTCGGACCGACTCGTCAAAGAGGCGCTCAGTCCTCATCGGCAGAGAAAAATGGTGGAAGTGTTCGATCAGTTGTCCAATTGTTTGTGTAAAGTGGCCGATATGGCAGAGTTTGTCCGCATCGGTCACCCGTCCCAACGGTTTGGACACTCGGCCGAAGAGGCGTCGATCACTATCAGCACTGAAGTGGAGAGACTCAACACAAACAAACCCCTATACGAAGCTCTTCGGGAAGTGTCGGAAAAGGGCGACCGATTGGCCACTAATGAGTTGGACGAGTATGTGATGAAACTGTTTCTCTTCGACTTCGAACAAAGCGGTATTCACATGAATGAAGACAAACGAAGACTTGTTCTTCAACTCAATCAACACATTCTACACGTCGGCTCCTATTTCATGAGTACTGCCTCTCAGTCCAGATCTGTTCCCAAATCTAAACTTCCCGAAGAAGTGCGCAACTGTTTCCATACAGAAGGCGATCATTTAGTGATCAATGGTTTATTCAATGATTCGGACAATGATTTGGTCCGAGAAGCGGCTTATCGTGTGTTCTTATATCCGGACGAACATCAGGAAAGTCTTTTGCAAGAATTACTTCTGTCTCGACTCAAATTGGCCCAAATCTGCGGATTTGACTCATATTCTCAAAGAGCAGTCAATGGAAGTATAGCTAATAATCCGCAAACTGTTTGGGAACTAATCAATTGCATAACCGATCGGTTAAGACCTTTCGCAGAGCAGGACTTCGAGGCGATGCTTAAATTGAAGGTTTCGAACAACAAATACGCCAAAAGTGTAAAGTTATGGGACATTCCCTTCTTTACGAATCTGTTTAAACAAACAAAGTTTAGTCAAGACATTAGTTTTTGTGCCCCATATTTCTCGTTGGGTTCGTGTATGGATGGACTCAACACTATATTCAACTCTCTATTCAACACAAAACTAGAAGTGAGTGAACAATTGGTGGGCGAGTGTTGGCACCGGGATGTCATCAAATTATCGGTCATCGATTGCAACACAAACACAATATTGGGTTATATTTATTGCGATTTCTTTGAGCGCTCCTCAAAGCCACACAACGATTGCCACTTCACTATTCAGGGCGGATGTCATTTGCCCGACGGCTCCTATCAGTTGCCAATAGTTGTCCTATCGTTAAGTCTACCGAATCCGAGCCCAACGGCGCCTTCATTGTTGTCGCCACATATGGTGGACAACCTGTTCCACGAAATGGGTCACGCAATGCACTCAATGCTCGCCCGCACGCCTTACCAACACATCACTGGCACCCGTTGTTCGACTGATTTGGCCGAAGTTCCCTCCATTTTGATGGAGTTCTTCGCTTCCGACCGACGAGTTATACAGACGTTTGCGAAGCACTTTCAAAGCGGACAACAAATACCTGAATCTTTACTCGACGTATGGCTGGCCTCGAAACAGGTGTTTATGGCCAGTGATCTGCAATCGCAAACATTTTATTCGGCATTAGACCAGACATACCACAGCTCTCAGCCGTTCAATGGCCTGAAAAATACGACCGAAGTATTGGCACAAATACAGAGTCATTACTATAGTGTGCCGGCGGTGCCCAACACGGCCTGGCAGTTGAGGTTCGGCCACTTAGTCGGTTACGGCGCTAAATACTACTCATATCTGGTGTCGAAATCAGTTGCGGCCAGTATTTGGCAGAAACTGTTTCAAAACGATCCGTTCTCTTCATCCGCGGGACAGCTCTATAAAGAGCAGGTGTTAGCACATGGAGGAGGGAAACCACCCAAACTCATCGTCCAGAATGTCTTAAACGATACCATTTCTGCCAAATCTCTGGCCGATTCTCTCATCGATAATGTGTTGCAATCGTACGACAGAAACAGTCAATCAAATTGAGAATTAGTGTTTTCGTAGCCTTTAGTTATGTATTTAGATATTTGTTATTGAATTTAGATTAAAATGTATTTTATAATAAAAGAATTGATACAAAAAACAAAACAAGTGACGAATTTTTGTATAAATTTTATTTATTATCAAATAAGAAATACAATTGTTATACAACTATAATTCAAAATAAAAAATTAATTAAAATTGTTTGAAATCAAAATTCAATTGTATCCGAGTTTTGAGTATTAAATGAAAAATATTTTATTAAAATAATTAGAACCGAATTCTAATCATTTGTTAAATACTTTATAATTAAATTGAGTTTTTGAGCCAATATTTAAATATTTCTTTGAATGCTTTTCTAATCATTTAATCATTAAATAATAAATCAATTTATTTACAAAACAAAACTGAAAACACAAGTAAAAAATACACAAAATTATTGATATTTAAAATAAAATCTATTGAAAATTAAAGTTTTTGTTTGCATAAAAAGTGAACACAGGTTTAAAATGTATGAATTAGTACCGAATGAAACAAATGGCTACAAATCACAAAAAGTGTTGAATATTTGATAGATTTTGAAATATTATTTGTTCTCCAGTTATGAAATTTAATGAAAACTTTGGCTAACCTTTGGATTCATTCAAAGAATTACAATAAAATTATTATTGATATTAAAAGTCATGTATTAATCGGCAATTCTATCGAATTTGTATTAATTTGGAGAAAAGTATCGAAAGAATCGATAAAAAAGCAAACTTTGAAAGTCATAGAAAAGAGGTCTTATGTTATAGTTATGTGAATACTTGTGCAACAAATGGCATGAAATGACATGCATTTAAAATACAAGTAAATGACAGGTATTTTGTTCTCAAAACAATCCCTTCTTCTTCTTCTCTTTATTCTTTCCGTCTAATTGTAATCTAAATAAAAATATAGTTAAAAGGATTTGTTAGTAATTATTAAATAAAATATACATTATATTAAAGAATTATGAAATGGTTTTGTGCTTTTTATTTGATTAGTTTTTATTAGCATTCCTTAGCAAACAATTTATTAATCAAATGAATTAAAAATGTTGCGATATATATAACAAAGTGATAAAACAATCTTTATTTATAAAAACTACATTTGACGACAAGTGTTGGCATTTTTTGATTTTTTTCTAGATTTTCGCTTCAATTTCTGGTCATCAGTTGTCACTGAATTCCAATTCACACTAATTTTAATCAAAATTAAATATTAAAAACATTGTAAAAGAAAATAAAAACCACAGAAATAGCCATAGAATAAGCGACTTATAAAATAATAGCATTTCAAACAATTCTTAAGCATTTTTCTTCCATTTTCCTAAAAAAGCTTTTTTGCCAAAAATGCGTGAATTTCGATGATTTGAGTTAAGAGTGGAGACTGAGGCCGAAGGTGTCAGATAATAGCCGTCAATGCAATCCCTAAATCCATTTAATAAAATCGAGTCAACACTAAAATCCCGGTAATATTTATAATTCTTCTAATAATTCTGTTATTTGTTTTATTTATTAGTTTTAAAACCAAAGCATTAAAGAATTACCAACTTTTCCGCATTAATGGCAGCTTTTCTTTGACGTTAAGACATGCAATCAATCAGAGCTATAACTGTAAACACATTGACTATCGATTAAGTTTATATTTACGTTAATTAAGCAGTTTATCAATAATTCAATTGTTTAATATTCAGCTGTAATTTATTAGTGATTTTAACACTCATTTAACCGAATAGTAAACCATTGAAATGAAAATCTATACCAAAACCAATGCATAATAGAAGAAATCGATAGAAAGAGTGCCAACGATTGGATGTACTCACTCTCTCATTGTGCTGTCCATTGTGTTAACTCTTCTGATCTCTTCCATGTCTTTGGAGATGAGTTCAAACGCTTCCAAATCTTTTTGATAAGCTTTCCTCCTTTCGTCCAATTCCTGTCTTTGTTGCTCTAATTTCTTAATCATATCGTCGTTACGACGAGTCAACTATTGGGCGAAAATATTTTGAGTATTAAACAAAAAACTCTTCTTATATGGGATGAGCTGCACATACGTCTCCCTCCGAGTCCTTTAATTTGTTGACCTTTTCATTGACTTTCATTTCGAAGACCTGTTCCATCTCTGCCTCCATCTTCTTCATCTTCGACTGATGTTCTTTCTTTTCCTCTTCCATTTGTGCCAAAGGATTCCTGTCATACAATCCATACATATATTTATTGAATAATTCAATCATTTTATTAACAAATCAGTGAAAATCATAACAATTAAAGCAAATGATTTGAAATGTAATAAAAAGTGCAATAAATTCATTAGAAATAAAGTAATAATAAACGAATGCATTATTGTTTTTGGTTTTAATTGAACTGAAAATTTAGGATTCATATCAAACCCATTATTCAATCCATTACTTACCAGAACACCATCTGAGAGGTGTTCTTCGATATCCTTTGAGAGCAATAACTAACAGACAGTGATATAAATGAGAGACAAAAACAGCACTTTTATATTTAAAGTTACATTTCCGCGAATAATCTCAACCAAACATTTAGACAAATATAAGTTTTTTCGAAGATATTTGAGAAACAATTAACAATTAGACAAATAGATCAACGAATACATCAAAACATGACTCACTTGTTGGAGTCCTTGTTGATGGCCTTCTTGTTCTCGGGTCCGATTCCCGTCAGTTTACGGCACCGAAAGTTTTCGTAGTGCACGTTATTCGTTGTGTCCAACAAATCCAACATAAATGTGCGGATCAGTAGATTCCTGAGGGCAACGAAGTCGCAGTGATCCATATTCTCGACTGACATTCAATACGAAACACTCATTAGTTTGCAATTTATTTAATCTATTGAAAGATCATAAACGGCAACTCACTGTCGACACAACCCCAGGGATATTTCCGGCCTCTCTTGCGCTCTCCACTCGCTTCGATTATGTAATTACTGCCGACGACAGCGAATGGGATCCGATTCTTCAGTTGTTTTTGAGTCTTTCCCTCTTCTTCTTCATCGCATTCGGGAAACTCATAGACTTTGATCTTATGTTTACTGATTTCGTTCATTACATTCTTCTTGAACTGAAGACATTCCTCTGGTGTGAGAGTGTCTGCTTTGGCGATCACTGGAATGATGTTCACCTTATCGTGTAAATGAAGCATAAACTCAATGTCCAGAGGCTTTAGTGAATGACCAGAAGGTTGTATGAAATATAGGCAGCAATGGACCCGATTATCCTGAATGTGCGTCCGATGGACACGAGTCTCGGCGTTCAGATACTCTTCGTATCGGTTCTCAATGAAATCAGTGATCGGTTGCCAACAGTTAGTGTTGTCGACAGCGCACCCAAAGCCAGGCGTATCGACAATCGTTAGGTGAAGAT